TCTCAGCAATAAGAAAAGTAACTGAGACAGAATTTGGTACTGCCTTGTTTACTTTTCTCTTCTTGCTGAGACAAAATACCTGATGCCCAGAATTAATGGAGGAAAGGTTTATTTGGCTCACAGTTTGTGAAGGTTTCAGTCCATACTCAGCTGTCTCCAAAGCACAGTGGCACATGGCAGAGGGCAGAGGGGCAACAGTTCATGGTGGCAGAAGGCAGCAAAAGCAACAAGAGCAAAAAGGAAGGAGCTGCAAGCAAGCCTCTTTCCCTCCCTAATATTGTATGCAGGCTATCTGCCCCAGGGCAGGTGTAGCACTCACACCCATAATCCCAGCACTGGATCATGAATTGATCACAAACTTCAGAAGCTTGTTCCATGACTGCATGAGGTTTTGGGAGGACATCTAGACAGAAACCATAACAGGTACCAAAAGTGGAATGTTGCCGTGACTATATCTGACCATGTGGTTCAGGAGATTTGGGACTGGCTTTTAGGAAGAATTTGGAAATGTTTGGAGATGCTGAATGGAAAAGCAGTTCTGGAATGCCTTAAACTATACTTGATAGGAGATTCTGGTTAGAGCTAAGAAGACCAGAATGCTGATGGAAACGCTGCCTGCCAGTAAAGTCCAGGCTCAGGATATTTCTCCTGGGAAAAAGGAATGTACTGGCTGCTGGACTCCTGACAATGTGTGTTATGCTTTGGAAGAAAGTTTATCTGCATTATGTTCATGTCCAGAGACTTTACCTGAGAATGACATTAAAGAAAGCAGACTAATTAATCTGGCAGAAGAAATTTCAAGGTAGTCTAAAGTTGAAGTGGTAGCACAGCTATTTTGGGGAGCTTTTAGCCAGATTTATGTAGGGAATCAAGGGCAAAGAGCCCAGCAGAACATTTTGAGTTTGGCCAGAAAAGATGCTTGAGTAAAACTGTGGCCTGCAAACATGGAACAGAGATGAAACTGGTCACTGAAAAGACTAGCAAGAAAAAGCCAAGTATTTCAGAAGTGGATGATAGAAAAGATGGCCTGAGTGTATCACAAAAACCAGTAGGACTCTACCCTTTGCAGTTTAGAACTGTACAAGTGAAAAACTTTGCTTTGAGAAAACAAACCCCATAGCACCAGATTTCAGAATGGCTTTGGTCTAGGGAAGTTGTTCTTTGGAATTTGGTTGATAGGCAATCAACCCCTATAACCAAGAAAAAAGGAAGCCTGGCTAAGCCCGGCTACTGCTTCAGCTCATGGCCTACCTTGACATCATCCATATACTGCTGGTTTTAGGAGCATGTAGAATGCAAGAGTTATGGGGGCAGGAAGGCTTCCACACAGATTTCAGAAGAAGGCCTGGGAGGCCCAGCAGTGTGTCCATAAGGAAGGCAGTGTGTGAATCTGTGAGCATGAAGCTGAAGGTGAAGTGGAGACTCCAGAAGTTTGGAGAAGCATGGAACATTAATTGTCTGAGGTAAACTGCAAGGAGGAAGCAGAGTTGGCCCCAGAGGTAAGGCATGGGAGCCACAACCACTGACAATGCTGTAGGGACAGAGCCACCCAAACCTTTTGGTGTTCACAACTTGCCACAGATTGCCTTGAGTGCTAGACAAGAAACTGCAGGACTTAATGATTACTCTGCTGGGTTTTGGACTTGCTTTATTCCCACCCCTTTTTATCCTTCTTTGTACCTTTTGGAATGGAAATGCCTATGTTATGTCATTGTACATTGAAAGTGTTTAACTTTCTTTTCATTTGTACAGGGGCTTGCAGCTAAGAGTTTGCCTTAAATCTCAGAGGAGATTGGAGTTAGCTATAACTTTTAGAAATCTGAAAATTCTTGAGATGGGCTAAATGCCTTTTGAGTAAGAAATGTGCATAAGTCTTGGCAGGGGCAGGGGCAGAATGTTATGGCTTATATCTAGATGTCCTCCTTAAACCCTCATGCAGTCAGAGGTGACACTGTTGGGATGTGGCTGGATCTGGTTGTGTGAGGCTGGGATCAAGGATGAAATTCTAGGATTAAAGGTGTGAGTGGTACTTTCCCTAAGGGTGGGTAGCCTGAGTAAGCTATGAGGGATAAAGAAAGGGTTTTCCCTTGTTGCTTGCTGCTTGCTGCCATGCTTTTTTTGGTTGCTGTAAACTGTGATGCCCTTATGCCATTCCACCCTGCCTTGGAGCCAGCCAACTGTGAACTGAAATCTTTACAAACTGTGAGCTAAATAAACCTTTTCTCCTTTAAGTTGTGTGTGTTGGGTATTTTGTCTCTGGATGAGAAAAGTAACTAAGACATTTCTAGAAATTCTAAGCCATCTGCTTATTTTCCCTGAGGCTATAGTTTCTTCCAGTATTTCAGTACTTGATGGCACCCAGGTCCTGATTTGCCAGGAGCCTGTTTTTTGCCAGGAGCCTGTTGTTAGTGGGTTGTCACTGTTTCTGTGCTAGAGAGCAATTCCTGATTTGTCCTGAATATACTGTGCTATTTTGTTCAGAAAGAACCATGAGAGTGCTTAGAGAGAGTAGTATGTCCCTACAAGTGTCTTCCTTGGGTCAGAGTAGGCCTGGATGCTTCATCCACAGTTACTTGCCTGTGGTCAGATGCTGCAGGATACTGCCTGCATCTTGGAAGAGTCACTATGGATGTACCAGCCTCAGGTTCCTGTATCATATTTGTGCACACAATTGCTGCCAAACTGTGTCAGACCCTGTGTCCATAGCCTGCCAAAACTAGAACAACACTGAAATAGGATCAAGGCTCACACAAGGGGTGCCTGTTGCTAAGGAGGATTTGTGATACACTTTGCTGCTTGCTGGAATACAGTCCAATAGACTAGGGCCATGTGTCTTCTCCTGTCACTGGAGCTCCTCTAGATGTCCCATCTACAAATCAGTCTGGGAATACGTTCCATCAAGATCGGCCCAGTGTTAATTTTCACCAGCTAAGTTCCAGGGCAAAGTCTTCTGCTTACTCCCCTGCCCAATACCCAGCTAATGGGGTCTTGCACCATACTATGTTGCCCAAGCTAGGGATAGTGCTGCTGAAGGCTATGACATGGCTACTTAAACTGGGTCACTCCTGAGTCTTACAGTTGCAAGGACCTGCACAGTCTTGCAGGTGAAGGTGGAGGACTAAGTCCCATCCTGCAGCTAGCAGTGATGCAGAACAAAATAAGTCTGTCCCACTGGACACAGATCTCTATCTGACACAGGAGCAGTTCTAAAACTCCATCTATGAGCATCAGCTTGATAATAACTGATCCTGAGGTGTGGGTGGTAGAGGCCACCAAAGCTGACTCCAAACTGGGTCACACCCTTACTTTCAGCCACAGGGGACTGCACAGTCTTGGAAAAGGATAGATGTGCTGTGAGCCTACTCTGAGGCAGGAAATGATGCAGGCTGAAATAAGCGTCTGTCTAACCAGTACACAGGCTGATTCCATGGCTGGCCTACAGGTTCTGTCTGTGACCTCTTAACCTGTGTATGGGATCTTTAGTTTCCAGTGGGTGCAGCGTCTCACAGTAGCGGACAAATCCATATGCTTACATGCCCTGCTGTCTCTGCCACCCAAGGTTGGAGGACGGATGCTCGAGATGGTCAGTCATCTGGCCTACTGCAGTTCCTGTGGCTTAGTTCATGGATATTGGCCAGACAGCTCCTGAGGCTTTTCCCAGCGCTCAGTTGCACCATGGCAGGCCTGTTAGTGGGTTTCAAGTCTAGGGCTTGGACTTAATTCCCTCTCCTTTCCAAGAGGAAAGTATCTCTCTCCATGTTAAGGTGCTTGGAGGTGAGGGAGGGGAAACAGACAACTCCTTCCTTCCTGCTTTCTGCAGTATGTCTTCATTTTGTTACACTACACGCAGGCACTGTGCTTTCTCGCCTGATTTCCTTAGCTCTTGTGAAAGTAGTTTGTTGTGTGGACAGCTGTTCTACTACGTGTACCTGTGGGGAGCTCATCGTTGGAGGAGTTTACTCAGCCACCATCTTTTGGGGTGGGCAGAGGCAGGGGTGTCTGGGGAATCAAACCCAGCACCTGGCACATGGCTGGCAAGCACTTTTGCACTAAGCTGCATCCTGAGTCCTCAGCCAGCATTTCCCTCTTCCTCCCCAGGGTTCTTGTGTGCCTCTGTCCTTGCTTCCATCTTTCATCTTTTCATCTTGCCTTTAGAGTAGGGGCATTGAGCATGTTTAAAAAGCTTTACGTGACTTTTTTAGGTTGAGAATGGTTGGGGTAGATAGTGTCTAAATATTCTAGCACTCTCTGATGTTGATTCTAATTGCTGTCAGAGTCGTAGAAGCAACTTTAAAAGAACTGTTTCCTGAGTAGCAATGAAATTGCACATAAGTAAATTAATTCTGAAGGGAAGCACCTAGTAGAGGTTAATAATCTAAAACAAAAATGTGATCACCAGCTGGGGAAAAATTCCTGAAAAAAAGAGCTAAAACTTGGCATGCACCCTTCCACTCTGCCCCTGGAAATCCAACCCAGAGTCCACTACAAGAACCTGACTGCCCCTGAAAGTGGAAACTCCTTGTCATTCCTACCCTAGAGAAAGTGGTCAGAGTTTTAAGCTATTTTGTGCTGTGGGTAAATATGTATAAGGAAATCTATATACTGTTTATAAAATCTTTGGAATTTAAAGTGTGTTCCATAATAATTCTCTTGCCAGGTAAGAAGATTTCAAAAATGGGCAGTTCTATTAAAGTATATATTTAGCCCCTGACTTCTTGCTTTCATTGGAGAGTATAACCTTTGTAATGTCCCCTACTTTTTGCCTTAGATTTTTCATTGAGAAAATGAGGCACTAAGATTCATTAGACCTTATATCTAGATCTAGATCAGTGATTTGACCCTTCTACATTTGAAAGCTCTCAAATTCTATGAATTATGTGTCACTTCATGTGTTCTTGTTTCTCACACTTAAGAATAATCATATTAATAGCAATTTATTTACAGAGTAATAAGTAATGCTTCCATACTTATGGAAATTACATTTTTATTGATTTAAAAAGAAAAAGATGCTTGGAAATATCACGCTACCCACTGTGAGCCTGGCTGGAATCCCTACGATCGTAACTGCTACAAACTTCACAAAGAAGAAACGACCTGGAATGAGGCTTTACATTCTTGCCAGTCTGGTAACGGCACCCTGACAGACATAGCTTCCTTAGCAGAGGTGGAGTTTCTTGTAAACTTCCTTGGAGCTGGTGAGTACTGACTGCCTTCGACTTATGAGGTATGAAATACGATGGAGTATCTGTTGGATTAGTGATTACTCCTAAGTAGTATGCAGGAATGCAGAGTCATTGGATTTAAACACCTGTTCAGAAACTTTATAAAATCTTTACAGATGCCAGATATATTACACGGCTTTTTAAACAAAATTGAGGGATGGAGATTATTTATGGATATTTCTAATAAACCTAAACCTATAATTTAGCTTTATGGCCTTTAGATAGCAGTATTGTGTTGTGCTCATGTAAAGAGAATTTTCTAGGCACACAATTAGATTTAAATCACTTTAGCCAGTAGCAAAGGATAATTTAGCTGATGCAGTGGTTCTCAGCCCATGTGTCATGCTCAGCTGCGGGCTCCTGGGCCTCCACCACGTTCAGTCCATCAGAGCAGGTCTGCTTCATCTTGTGTCCCACATTTGACATGGAATCCTGCTAAAAGAAAAAAAAAAAAAAAAACTTTGAACTCCTGGACTTTGTCAATGTCTAAAAATGAAAGAAAAAAAAAGAATCTTGACCCCACCTTGATGACCTTTTCAATGTTGTTTTAGTTTCAATTAAAAACAAAAATCGTTCTCTGCATTTTTTCCTAATCCTTTGCATTTAGTATTAAAAGAATCCTGCAGCTACTTCTGTGTCAGTGAGGATGCGAACATCTCTCTCGTTATTAAGGGTCTTCTCCCCCTACCCAGACTACTAAGCTTTAGTTATTTCCTGTCAACTCGTTACTCCCACTGCAATGCTTTTAAAAGTTTCAGTTTCTTTTTCCTTGGGAGAAAAATCTTTAAGCTTTGTCCTTGTTTTAGCTTTAGCTCACATTCTGCTTTGGTTCACTTACCTCCTAAGAAAGAAGATCTGGATATAATAGAAAGGAAAGGATTTCAACCGGTATTTTATACACTTAAACAGCTTTCATTACATTAAGAAATAAATAAGAGATCACATGCAAAATGGTGTATTTTGGTAATAACATTGATATATTATCACTTTAAGATCTTTTAAGTAAATTATATTTATCTTTTATAGAAAATGCATCAGAAACATGGATTGGCTTGAGCAGCAGTAGAATTCCAGTTTCCTTTGAATGGTCTAATGGTTCTTCAACAGTATTTACTAATTGGGACATACTAGAACCCCAAATTTTTCCAAGTAGAAGCCAGCTGTGTGTCTCAGCAGAGCGCCCTGTAAGTTGATTCATTTGTTCAATGTTCATTTTGCTGAGCTTGTATTGAGGGTCTGTGCTGGAGACATAGACCACGGCAGAGACTAAGACATGCATGGTGCGAGTTCTTCATGGCGCTTCCAGGGTAGGCAGGAAACAATTACACAGAGAAAACTCATGGAAATTGTAGTTATGCTCATTGTTCTGAGGTTAGAGGTGACATGAAGTGAGGAGCGTGGCTTGGAGTTACTCCTTCAGACAGGACAGTCAAGAAAGTCAATATTTAAGTTAGGATTTTAAAAAAAACCACTTGCAGAACAGGGGAGAGAACATTCCAGGCAGAGAACAGCAAGTGCAAAGGCAGGTCAAAGCTTGCCATCTTTAATGACAAGGAGAATGACCGGCAGTGATGAAGTGGTAGGTGATAGGAAAAGTGGAATGTGAAAATGGCTTATAGGCCATGGTATAGGAACCATTAAAGTGTTGTAAGGACATAGGGAACATACTCTGGTTTACATTTTGAAAAGAAGTCATAGTGTTACATAGAGAATTATTTGGAGAAAGATAAAATAGAGTAGAAAAGTCATTTTGGGGGCTACCTGTGGTAGGGACAATAACTAGAAGTGAACAGATGCAAGGATGTTTGGGGTAACAAGACATTGCTAAATGAGATTGAGGCAGTAAGAAAGGGGTGGATTTCAGGATTGAGGAACCACCATTTTGGTAGATGGTGACACTGTTGACCACCATGTTGAAGATGAGAGGAAAAACTGAGGGTGAGAAGATTACTCTGGAGAGTGATGTTTTTAAAGGTCGATTATCTTACTAACATAAATGATTTTGAACAGTACGTGTAACCTTTTTGAAAAATATAAACCAATGACAAACCTCACTTTTTTTAGCATGAAGGGAATGGCCCACTGGGCTGAAGTTCACATCTGCCCAGCATTCTCATCTCTCACTTATCTAAAACATCTGATGATACAGAATAGTTTAATCCTAAGCCACTTCATGGTTTAGTATGTGTTTCAAATGGACATACTCTCTTTAACTGCTGAGAGTACTCACTGAGTTTTAGGAGGTTATTGGGATTGTGTGAGATTCCTCATTCATTCTAGATATTTTTTTGTACCAGGAATCGAACTCACAACCTCATGCTTGCCAGGCAGGTGCTTGCACCACTGAGCTATATCCCCAGCCCTCCTCATTTATTCTAACCACTGGATACCATATCTAGTTCCCCCAAGAAATAGTTCATTAATGCTACTTATGTAGCTTGATAAAATTGTGCCAACCAAACATGGAAAACTTCTAAGCACTTTCTTTGTGACACATTTTATTGTTGTAACTTTTAAAGCTTGAGTTAACATGTGCAGTTCCAACTGTACTTGCCAGCATAGTGCCTGTGAGCTACGTTTGAGGAGGGAAATGACTTCTCCAAAAGTTTGCCATGGGTCTAGTACTTCTGAGATCCAATACACTTCATTCTACTCCAGTTATGTCTTACTGATTCACTGGTTTTGTTGTAAATTAAGATGACCTTCACCTCCTAATGACTGACTTATTTCACTGAGTGTATTTACTGCTGAGGAGCCAACATTTGGATGGGAACTCATTTTAAGAGAATGAGGATAGATATTAATACTACTGAGTAGTCAGAACAATGCTGCCCTAAGTATATTTTGTAGCCCCCCTTTTGGCCACTTAGTAGCTCCTTAAATAGATGTATAAAAGTCAACATCTACTTCTATCAAGTTCTATCAACTAGGTTTCCATCAACTCAATATAAATATAATTATTATAACTAACAAGTTACCTAACATGGTTAACACCTAATTTTGCATGCCTAGGAAACCTCATTCATCCATGCACCCAATAGTTATTAAGCAGCTATGGCACACTTGACACTATCTTGTACCTAGATGGTTTGCTGGACGACTCCGTGAAGGAGAGACACAGCACTGTTCTTACAGTGAATGTATCAGCCTCTGACATGATGTATTTCTAAAGGTCATGGAAGGCCTCAATTCCCATAAAAACCTGGATACCTGAAATACCACCTGAAATTGTGTGGTGTGAGTCCAAGGTTCTGATTTGTGTTAAAAAAATTTTTAAAGTATTTGGGAAAATAAAATTTGAATTTGTTAGTAGTCACTGCATCATTATTAATGTAGAATCTGAGCGTACCCTTCAGCAGCCCTAGGAGAAGACATGAAGGTATCCGCTTGTAATATAAAGAGAAAGTAAGTGGGGCTCTGAAAACTTAGTGATGCAGAAGGACATTAGGGTTTGAACATGAATCTCAGCCAGGTAACGTCCACGTGTTTCTCCAGCATGACAGCTGTATGTGGAAGCAGCAAAGCCTTTGATTTAACACTTACACTGGAGAAAGTAGCATACTCAGTCAGAGGCATGACTTGGTCCAAGTGATTCTCAAAATGTGGCTCCAGATCTGCAGCATCGAAGTCCCCTGAAGCCTCGTTACAAATGCAAATTCTGTCCCTCCAAAGCTGCTGATTGAGACACTCTGATCAGGAGGCCCAGTCAGTGGTTTAGGAATTCCTTCCAGAGACTCTGATACACCCTAACAACTGAGGACCATTTCTCTAATCTGCTTTTTTAAAAGAAAAATTGAGGGCAATTTAATGCAAAGCCTGGCTGACCACGTTATCAATCCTAGCTCCAATATTTTGCTGATTGTAGGACCTTGAACAGACTATTAAACTTAACCTTTAAAATGGGAATAACAATTGCTTTCTCATGGGAATGCTGAGATTATTTGAAAATCACCCAACATTAGGCCTAGCTCGTAGCATCAAGCAAGAAGTATCCATTGTTTCCTCCACCCTGCCCACTCAGTGTGGGACTGCAGACATTGGAACTGTCACATGCTGCAGAGCCAGCACCCACCCCCACGCCCTTCCATGGAGAGAGAGCCAGCCCTTTCCACAAACAGGCAGGACCCTGAAACATTACCCCACTGAAGTACTTGCTGTTAATTACATTTGGCTGATAATTGTTGGTATTTCTCATCAACATGAGCATGAAATATATTCATTCATCTTGTAACACTTTCTCCACAGGAGGGACACTGGAAAGTTAAAAATTGTGAAGAAACACTTTTTTATACTTGTAAAAAAGCAGGCCACATCCCTTCTGACCCAGAATCAGGATGTCAGGAGGTAAGTTTGTAATGCTGCAGTTTAGGTACAGAGAGTACAGAACTAGAATAATATACCCTCCACCAACTGAAAGCAAATTTTCCTCCCCAGCCTTTGCTCACTCTCCCCTCCCTCTTTTATCCCTCCCTTCCTCCCTCCCCTCTCTTTCCTGCCACCTCTTTTTCTGAGAGTGAGCTGCATTTTAGAAACCAAACAATTATAATCTAGAGCCCCTGAAAGATCTATAGCCCTGATCACATTGCCTTGCTGTGCTCTGTGAGCCACGGATGCTTTTTTAAAAAATTAAAAAATATAAATGATCTTGTTGTACCATCTGTACAGTCACTGTCCCACGACGCCCCTACTCACATGTAGTTTTCATAGTTCTCAAGAAGGATGTCACAGAGAAAGCGACCACGTCCCTGAAGTCAAAGAGTAAACTTCTGCCCCAAGCCTTTTGCCTTCCTCTTCACCCTGCTGAGACTTAAGTACAATGCTGGACATAATGGTGTGCTTGCAGTGTATTTATTATTTGGGAAAGAGATAGTAAAAATACATTACATTTAGTATAAATAACAAAGCATTTTAGATGTACTAAAATACTTAGATTTAAACCTACAAGGTAGAAATTATCAATTTAAAATTTCTTGGATACATAAAATATACTGCAATAAAGTTGTACAAAAGTTATCTATCTGTATTTTCAGCACATATACTTACTTTCCTGCCCACCCTCAGTTTTTATATTGTGTTATTCTAAAAAATTTCCTAGGTCCAATTTTTTGTTTCTTGTTTCTGTTTTTGTTTTTCGAGACAGGATGTCACTATGTAGTTCAGGCTGTCCTTAAACTCACTGTGTAGCCCAGCATTGCCTCAAACTCCTGGCAATCCTCTTGCCTCTGCTTCCCGAGTATTGGGACTACAGGTGTGCATCACCACGCCCAACTTAGACCCAGTTTTTAAGACCTCTTCTTTAATTATCATCCCTTCTAATCCAACTATTTATGCTCCAACTAAACAGTGATCCATCTCTGCAGAAAATGCTTCATCCATTAATCAATGTGGAAACAGAGGAGCTGCCCTTCATACCCCAGCTGGACAGGACATGTGCCATAGCTGACATGTCACCAAGTACTCCACCCAAGAATAACAATTCCCGAAATATGGTTGATCACTGACCTTGTCTCTACCTTAGTGTGGCTTCAAGGCAATTCTACATGATTTATTTTTGTTGAAAGAGCAATTAGCTTCTTGCCCAACAGAACGAGAACCGATGCTCTCTTTGAAGTTTTGTTCACGGCTTGCCTTTTCTGGCCAGCATTACTAGTGTGTAAAGATTCTGTATTCAGAAGCAGTTCTTTAGTTTTAATGGAAATTTTCCACTAATTTTATTTTCTTTATCTTCTGATATTACGGTTTCTTTTTTATCCAGACTTTTCCTTTAATGCAACTCTCCAAACAGTTTCTCCTTGCAAAATTAATTCTAAAATTAGTCTTGATTATTTCAAAGTCAGAAAAGGTCATTTGGGGGAGATTGGACAGTAGGAGCCAATCAGTTATTGCCCCACCCTTTCGTTAAACGGAAAAGGAATTGTAATCCAGTCTTTGTCGTCCGGTTTTACCATGCCACATGTTTCTTGCCCTCCCTTTTTTGAGGCAGCTCAGTTCTAGGGTTTGTTTTGTTTGAGTAAGCAACACATGACCCAGAAATTACTAATAAATAGGAAATATTTTGTCAGAAAGGTCAAATCGTCAGTCTCCCTCCACTTGTCCTTTCAGTGCAAAAGCAGTCTAACCACGTGTTGCCATCCAGAGTGAAGCTTGAGGGGTCTGTCGGGCAGTGTTGGCTGCACAGAAAGGGTTGGGAGTAGAGGTGACGGGGAGCTAGTTCTTGGCACAGCTTGAGCGGCCGGATGACTGAGCTGTGTGAGCCGCACCTCCTTCCATGAGATGTTTTGAACTAAAGTAGCCGAGTTCTAATTAAGATCTTGTTTTCATTAGTGCATATTTGCAGTACATAGTGTTTACATTCTTTGTGGGGAGCTGCTACATGTACGAAACACATCTAAACTCCTTTCTTCATCCCCTTCCCTTAACTCCCTACCCCCTGCAGCCATCTCTTGATGACCCCCTTCCTTTTTCTTTCTTTCTTTCTTTTTGTACATATTTGCAAAAAAAAAGTTTACATTCTTTGTGTGTAGTTGGTATATGGACGATTTTTCACAGGACTAAGGTTTTTTCAAGAAATATTCTACAATGCATTTTATGCCTGATCATAAGCTGGCAATTATTGAGTTGGCACAAAATGTAGGATATTTAAAATCTGGTTAATATGTAAGGACAGATAAAGCAATATGACCTAATATATTGGATGAGAAAAAAACTGAAATAGTTCAGTTGAAATATAGTGAAAGTATGTCTCTTGTACTGCATGATTTTAAAGGATACAGCAACCTCAGCCTTGTTCTCAGGGGTAAGCCTCCCAGCTGCACATTTGTCATTTCTGTCTGCATGCCCAACTTCCCTTCTTCCACCCTAAAAGGCCAGCCAGTTAATTTAGGAATAATTACTCTGTGTGCACGAATGTAGTTTTTGGCCATGTTCGGATTATGATCCTACCAAGGCCATCCTAATTTGCACCAGAATTGGCTTCCAGGCCCACCTGATCTACTGGTTGGTAACTCTGTTTAAGTACCTAATCTCAGTGAATCTCAGTGAGATAATATAAAGCAATCAATATGAAATAACTTTGAAAAATCTATAATAATATCTAGATACATTTATCATCTTTGTTTGTACCAATTCCCTGGCCCCACGCTTACAATCTCTGACTGCATTGTGTGCTTTTGAATTTCAAACAGAGTCAAAATATTGCTGTTATCTGTTTTGCAGATGAGAAAACTAGTCAGGGAGACATTAAATAAATTTCTTAAAATACTTTCAATATCAATAAACTTACAGGTGGTAGAGCCAAGATTCAAACCCATGCTTTCTGAAGAGCCAATACTCTTAATTTCTATCCTAATATAGGAATAATTTTTATGAAATTCTGTAAGTCTAGAGAGAGAGAGAGACAGAGACAGAGACAGAGAGAGAATAAAATCTCCTGAGTGCCCTTTTATTTTATTTTGGGTTTTTATTTTGTTTGGGTTATCATTTTGTTTGTCTTATTTTCCCCTTTTATCTTCTCTTGTGTTTAATTTTTTATATTTTTAAATTTTAAGTATATTTATAATTTTAGGATTTAAAGATAGTTAATTAAATAAACATAGAAGTGGCCACAACAGTTAGAATAACATCACCAGGTGGAATAAATATAAAGACATTAAGAAAAAAACTCAAGGAGTTTTGAGTGAGAGAAGAAAGTTATATAAGCGGTAAATGAGAATGTGCAGAAAAGATTTCTTGGTATTTAACTGAGTAAGATTATGTCCTTAATTTCCTTTTTTCTTTTTTAAGGGATGGGAGAGACATGGTGGATTCTGCTACAAAGTTGACCCAGTCCTTAGAAGCTTTGACCATGCTTCCAGTGGTTATTACTGTCCACCTGCACTTGTAACCATCACCAACAGGTAAACAAAAATGTTCTGAGAGAAACCTGACTATACTTTGACAGAAGGGCTTTTGGAGGGATAAAATCTAGCAATAATAAGAACCTTATCAAAATCTGGAATGTGGTATATTATACACTAATGAATTTTTTAAAGTATTGAGGTGAATTTAAATCTTCTGATGTTATTCTTAAACTGATTTTTGTTTTTTTGTTTGTTTGTTTGTTTGTTTTTTTGGTTTTGGTTTTTCTCCAGTACCGGGATCCGAACTCATGACCTTGCGCTTGCCAGGCAGGCGCTTTTTGCCGCTGAGCTAAATCCCCAGCCCCTTAAACTGATTTTTGAATGACATATAGTAAAATTTAAGGTGATTTTTACTTTCCTTAAAAATGTATTAATTGGCTTTGCTAATATATTCAGTCATATTTAAGTTTTATGTTCTAACTGCTTGTAATGGAAAAGAAATATGTTATTTAACAAGCATTTAAAAAATGTATGTGGGTGAGTTGTATAAGGTACTTTTTGCAGCAAAAAAGAAAGTATAACTGAAATGTAGAGGATATTCAAATGTCTCACCATTACTTCTACATTCTCTTTGGTTTAGATTTAGATTGAGAGAGACTGCGCCCTTTTTACACTCCATACAATCTGTGCTACAGCTGTGGCATAGAAGGTAAAGGCACAACAAAGATGCCCTCATGTCACTATCAATGCCAAGGACAGTGAGGGTGTGCCTATGACAGAAGCAGGCTAGCAGTCTTCAGTAGGACAGCCTTACCTGCAGCCTTTGCACATAGGTCTTTGCCTTTAAAAATATCCACTGAAAATTCAGATGAGGTAGTCTTTCTCTTTAGCCCCAGCTACTTGGAAGAATGAGGCAGGAGGATTGCATGAGTGTGAGTTCAAGACCAGCCTGAATCCCAGGAAATGGGACAACTGGTGCCATTTCTAACTAGAGACCCTTGACACATACGCCTGAGTTGTAGGATTCCTGTATGCTTTCTCCGCTTTTCCACAATGGAAGTCAACATTCAGTCATCAGTATTTCCCTTCTCATCTCATCCTCTTACCTTCCTGCCTTCTCTACCAGTCATTCTTCCAAATACTGCACAGGACTGTGCTTGCTTGTGCATGGAGGGATGCACTGACCAAAGGGGAATGGGCTGACAGCTTTTGGTCTCCATTAGCGTATAACCATAAGGGTGTAACATCAAAGTGTCTCAGCATTGCTTTCACCTCTGCCTTTCTACCTCCCTTGTATAGCTTCTAGGCAGAAGGAAGCCTATATCCACTCAACTTACTAGGCAACTTTAAAGTTTACACAAATACCTTGGCTTAAAAGTCTCCACTTAGTGAGTCGACAGAACACACTGCAGAAGCCTAACCCATGAAACAAGGCTCCTTTGTTAATGATACTTAATTATATTTTACACTGAAGAAAATAAGTCTAACCGTCTCATCTATTTTTTGTCTCATTCTTTTTTCTTTTATGTTTAATATTCATTGACTGCCTGCCACATACCTAACATAGTGTTAATTACTTCTTATACATTGTGTGACCATTCAAAAAATTAATAGTTGAGTTTTTTTAGAAAATTGTACATTGAATACATAGTTTGTAAGTGGTACCAGACTAAACACTCCCATGTCTTGTATGTACAAAAGAAATAAAAGGTATCTGTAGCTGTCTGTGTTCTACAGCATGGAAGCTAAAGCAATAGTACATAAACACATAAAACAAGTGAAGAAGGTAGAATAACACTCAAGAAAATGGATAAACTCAAAGTAACATTATAGATTGCTTGCAGTGACAAAGTGACCCAAGCCAAGGTAGAACTCCATTAAGAGTTCAAATGTTTCATATTCACCAGAATTTTGAGAACCTCACACAAGTGATAGAAACTATCTGGGAGTGGGGAATCCATTTCATTTCCCCAAAACTGAGTACAAGAATAGGGTGAGGATACTACATTTTTCCTTTGATTACCCACACTCACTAGCCAACACACAATTGTGTTCCAGCTCTGAAGCAACACAGTGGCATAGCGAAATTTGTTTTTAATCCCAGTTTCAGTTGATTAAGCGTGTCCATCTTGGCTTATGCTGGCATGCGACCCGGTCACTAACCAAGCTGGCCTGGCTACACTTGAGCAGTAATGTGGCATCTCTCCAGGTCGGTTAGCATGAGATACAATGTTCCAGAAATATGACTTTCTCTGAAGCTGTGACTCTGCCAGCCTCTCAGATGGAGAAAAGGAAGTATCCCACACTCTTGATTTTCATTCATTCAGACTTCATTGGGGAAGAAACCTCTCTTTGAGTAATGATACATATTGTCATGTTCTCCTGCCATGTCTTTTGTATGAGATGCTGGCAGGAGAAGGAACATCTCCTCAGACTCAGGAGCATCCTCAAGCAGCCTCAGTAAGCATTTTCTTCCATTTCTGGTTTCCTGTTTGAGCTGAGATGCGCCTGTCACTCTCCAGCACCCAGGCTTGTAGTTGCTAATTGATTTTCCACTCTTCTGCACAATCCAGTGACAGCTTTGATGGGCACAATTAGAACCACCTGCTACAAATTACTTATTTCTTTTGTTATTGGGCAACTGCTCCTGGTCTAGGACTTTTTAACGCTTTGTGGGATAGAGAGGGGAAGAAAAACAGACCTCCCTGCTAAATAACAGATTTGTATTTGCTAGTCTGTTATTGTAAAACTTTTTCAGACCCTGTCACTTTGCTTTCAGGCAGAGTAGGGATGCAAATCCTGATTTTCAAAGTTAGTGTGGATAATTATCTAAATGCATGTTTATCTAAATATTGACTCAGTCACCTGTGGAATGTTTGCTACAAAATAATAAAAATGATATTGATTTCATATCTTTTGTCCAAAAAGAGAAATCCTGCAATATTTTATTTTTTATAGGTTTAAATATATGTTTTCAGGTATTTATAAAGCGCTGCCAATTTCCTAAAACTGTCATATCCCCCAAAACACTTTTGTACTTAACTTTATAAAACTGTGCTAAAACATTGACAAAATAAAGTTTACCATTTAAACTTTTTTTTTTTTTTTTGATACCAGGAATGGAACTCAGAGCCTTGCATTTGCCAGGCAGTCACTGTGCTGCTGAGCTATATCCCCGGCCCTAAACCATTCTTAACTATACAGTTCAATGGCTTTACCTGCAGTCCACGGCTGGGCACTAACTCCCATTGTCCATTCCCAGAATTTTTCTTCTTCCCTCACTGAAATCCTGTACTCATTGACTAAAACTCCCAATTCTGCCCTCCCCTCAGCCCCTGATGACCACATTCTATTTCCTGTCTGTGAGTTTGACTACTCTAGGGACCTTGTTCAAGCGAAATTATACAATATTTGTCTTTCCGTGCCTGGATTATTGCACTTAGCATAATGTCTCAAGGGTTGCAACCTGTAGGAATTTCTTTCTTTTCAAAGGCTGATCAAGATCCCATTGCATGCACGCACCAGATTTTGCCTATCCATTTATCCATCAGTAGGCATTCGGTTTGCTTTCAACATTTGATTATTGTGAATAAAGCTACTTCAAACATAATGTACACAGTCAAGTTCCTGTTTCTAACCCTTTGAGTATATACTCAGAGGTGAAACTGTTGGATCATATTGATACTTATATTTTTTAACTTTTTGAGGAACTAACACACTGTTTTGCACCTTTTTGCATTCATACCAGTAGTATGTAAGAGTTCTAACTTCTCTATATTCTGACCAATATTCTTTATTTTCTGATTGTTTGTTTTGTTTTGTTTTATAATAGCCATCCTACCGGGTGTGTGTGTTAGTGAGCTTTCCATCACTGTGAAAAATAAAAATGAGAAAGACAACTTAAAATAGGCAAGGTTTATTTTAACTCATTGTTTCAGAAGCTTTAGTCTATGGCCAGGTGTCTCCTTGCCTTTAGGCCTGTGGTGAAATAGAACGTGGTGAAGGAGGAAAGGGCTCACTCACCTCATGGCGACCAGGAAACAGAAAGAAAAGCAGACAGCAGAAAGGGCTAGGGCCAAGATATAGCCCCGGGGCATTCCCCAGAGGACCCACTTCTTCCAAATAGGCTCCATCTCCTACAGTTTCCACTACCTCCCAATAATTAAGTTATTAATCCATCAATGGATTAATCCATTGACGAGGTCAGAGAGCTCATGACCCAATCACTTCCCAAAACCTCCACTTCTGGGCATTGTTTCACTGAGGACCAGACCTTCAATACATGAGTTTTGGGGGACACTTCATGTGCAAACCATAACACAGTGACATGTCATCTCATTGTGGCTTTGATTTGCATTTCCCTTAATGATAAATAACGTTGAAATCTTTTCATATGCTTCTTCTTTATATCTTCTTTGACCTATGTGCAAAGGTTGCAGGTAAGGCAGAAGAAATGTCCATTCAAGTCTTTGCCCATGTTTTAATTGAAATGTTCATGTTTGTTATTGAATTATAGGAACTCTTTATATATTCTGTATTTTGATCTCTTATGAGATATGTGATTTTCAAATATTTTCTCCCACTTTTTGGGTCAATTTTCACTCTGTTGGGAGTCTCCTTTTCATTTTTATGATGTCCAATTATCTACTTATTTCATTGCCTATGTTTTTGATGTCATATCCAAGAAATTGTTGCCAAATCTAATAACATGAAGCTTTTTCTGTGTTTTTTTTTTAACAAGAGTTTAACAGCTTTAGCTTTTATGCTTATGTCTTTGGTCTACTTTGAGTTTATTTTTTACACAGTACAAGGTAACAGTCACTCATTCATTTGCAAGTTGATATCCAGTTTTCCTAATATTATTTGTTGAAATGATTGACTTTTCCCTACAGAATGATCTGGCATCCTTGTTGAGAATAATTTGACCATATATGCAAAGGTTTATTTCTACTTTATTTCATAGATGTATATGTTGGCCTTTTTATCATTGTCACTTTTTTTATTACTGTAGAGTATACTAAGTTTTGAAATCAAGAAATGTGAGACTCCAACTTTGTTCTTTTTCACAGTTGTTTTAGCTATTCTGGGTCCCTTGGAATTCCAATTTAATTTTACAGTTAAGTTTTCTATTTCTGAAAAAAAATCATTATTATTTTGATAGGGATTGCACAGACTAGATCACTTTAGGCAGCTTGGGCATCTTAACAATATTAAACCTTCAAACCAATGAACATGGTGTCTTTCTATTTATTTGTGTTTTTGTTTGAGCTGGCTAGCTAGCCAGTGAAGCTACTTCCAATGCATTACTTTTTAATTGTTTTAGATAATACAAACACAGTAATCACAGTACTGTTATCTGCTGTTTGCTATGTTGTTCACAGATAAGAAATATCTTTTTTTCAGATATATATGTCACTGGTTAAACTGACAAAGAAATAAAATGTTCACTTAGAGATCAAGTACAAAATTCCTCTTTCTAAAGTGTAGACTTTTTGAAATACAAAACGTTTACTCTGAAATGAAAAAAAGAATGCAATCCATACTAAAATTTGTTGCTATTTTAAAATGGCATTTTAAAATTGAAATGTAATGGTTACCATCATGAGAAAATTTTTTTGCTAACTGATGAAAGTTCAAAATGTATTTTTCTATTAACACTGAAAATACATTCATTTCTTAACTTTTTTTAAAGAGTTAATTGGAAAAGTTAATTTTTTTCTGATTCCAAAAATTATTCTCCTGTGGAGTTTCAATTTGTAAGTAGGTACACATATGCAAAATACTACATCATTTGTCTATTTTTTAAAATAACAAATAATTTCCAGTTTATAGAATTTCTTAGAAATAAATACTATCCTGGCACTTATAATAATACAAAATATGTACATGTGGTTATTTTGGGTTTTTAAGTCATAACAACATTTGAATTAAACAACCCCTGTAAAATCAGACAAAAGACAAGTTAATATAAAACTCTGGAATGTTCTCTTATGAATAATTCTAAAATACAGGGCTAGAAATACATTTGAAAAGTCATCTTCTATACCACTGTAGGCCAGAGGTTTTCTGACCCTTTAAATAGTGAGTGGTAAAGAATATAAGATACCTATGTTTCTTTACCAGGTAGGAACAGATACTCAAAAATTGTACACTTTGTCCTAACTTGATTATTTTAGAATGTATGGTTTGGAAGAGAGCCACTTTTGTTAAATTGTTTTATAGCCTCACCATCTTGTAAACTAGACCTAGAAAACTATAGTCTTATTTTGATTTAATGTATGAATATTTTGTGCACTACTTAAAAACATACTTGCCAACTCAGAAGCAGTTTTCTGTTGTTTCAAGCAATGATAAATAGAGGTACAATAGCAAGCCAGAAAGGACGAAATAAATTTACAACCAATAGAGGACAAGAGCAACATGTTGTCATAAATAATCATATGCAAAGCCATATTCACAGACAAGGTCATTTTTTAACATCATCTGATAGATTTCATAGTAAAAGGTAATGAAAGAGCCAGTAACCCTCCCTGTGCTCAGAACCACCCAAGTAAATAGAAGTCTGGCCATAGCATCTACGGGCCAATGCCTTGCTGGCTTCTAACACAGGAATTTTTTAGGCACCAGGTAGGAAAAATAATTATGCTACTCTGCCTCAAAGTGGATCTGAAAAGCAGGTGGTATATTATGAGACTATGAACTAATGAAATGTAAGGAAAATTATAAAACATCTAGGCTGCATTTAGCTTCTTGTACCTTCCTCCTTACATAAGGTTCTGCTCCTACCACGTGGTTAAAAACAAACTTCTCACTTCAAATGTGTGCTCTTTTGATCATTAATAGAGAATTTGAAGAAAATATTAAAACATGGTAAAACTATATGCTCTGCGAATATGAGTGCCATGGATGCCTGTGATCACTAAATGTTCTAGCGATATCTCTAAGGCACTTCAAATTTTACTTTTTGTTGTTTATTTTTTCCTCTGTTAATTCCTTTGAGACTCTTCTATTTTTAAATGATCCCATTGCCTTTGGTACCCTTAGCAAGTTAAGAATGCATGACAATTTTTTTTAAATACAAAACTGCGATTTAAAAGTGTAACTTGCTTTCTCCTTGAATATTTTGGGTAGTTTCATCAGGCCTTACCTTTTCCATTGACTCAGCATATCTGGCCAGAAATCACCACTGAAATTACTTCTAATTTTATATGTCTTGAAAATGGATTTCTTGTATTAGTTTCAAACTTAGCTTTAAGTTTGATTTTAGTTAAATTTTAATACCTACATTTTTCTCATTAAATGTGCGTGTAGGAGAATAAATACAAGTTTTCTAGATTCCACTTTTGATGCATTCATGTTGGGAAGGGAGCATTCCCACCAATCATGGAATGCTGATTCATGAAGCTGTTTGGGAAAATGCTAGTGGGTGTGTGTGCCTTGAATTAAATCCGAGGATTTAAATTCATCTTGAAAATGCATATTTGAACACATTTGAATAAGCCAAGGACTCCATGTGCCTGTGAACAAACTGTTTTGGGAGCTACAGAATTATTACTCCACTTCCTTTCTTCCCGAGCACGTGTGCTGAAGGGGTGCGTGTGAACTTCACAGTGGTAGATGTTCATGCAGAAAAGCATACTGTGCTTCCTCCTCTTCCCGCCAAGCCCCACCCCATGCACATTACAGCCTGGTGTGTGGTATATGGCCTAATTATAAAACAGGCCACATCATACTAAAAGAAATAGATTGCTGGCTGTGTGGACATTACCACCTACACTTTGGAGCCAGAGCTGGACTCTGTTCCTTGACCCAGTTTCTTTTTTTGTCGTTTGTTTTGTTTTGTTTTTCTTTTGGTACCAGGGATCAAACTCACAACCTTGCGCTTGCCAAGCAGGCACTTTGCCACTGTGTTAAATCCCCAGCCCCTAACACAGTTTCAAGAATTAAGTGTATAAGAGTCAAATTCTCTTCATTTATGCGTTTCTGGGAATTACACTGGCACTTGGCATGTTTTAGTAGTATTCAGGGTCTTTGTATATTTTTCTGCTCCATGTTCTAAAGAATTAACAAGTAATGCAATTCTGGTGCCATTCTGCATACTTCATTATGTTTTCATGATACTTTTATTGCCCTGAAACATAATACAACCATTTCCTTTTTCTCTTTTCAAGGTTTGAACAGGCATTTATTACCAATTTGATCAGCAGTGTGGTGAAAACAAAGAACAGTTATTTTTGGATAGCTCTTCAAGACCAAAATGATACAGGAGAATACACTTGGAAGGCGGCAGGGCAGGAGTGTGAGCTGGTGCAGTACACACACTGGAATGCTCACCAGCCCCGTGAGTAGAGGGGTAGTGACCCCAGCTCTCCCTCGCTTTGTGGTTGTGTTTTCTTGACCCCAAATTCCTTCCACCTCTTAGTCACCTCCTTTGTTTCTTCCTTAATTTTTTTCTAATGCCTACATCAGCTAAAACGATCACCATAGGTTCCCAGGGGTTAGCATATGGCTGGCCATTTTTTAAAGTATAGTTCATATGCATCATTTGACATGTTCAAGGTACACATTCATTGTTGGAGCCTACACGTGTTTTTATTACCAGGAAGTTCAGTTTCTGTCTCCTCAAGTGCCACCCCAACCCCCAATCTGATCCCCTTTATTATCCAGAAATCTCAGGGGCTTATTCAGTCTAGAGCTGCTCAAGTGCACTACTGATGAGCACATCTGAGGAGTTCACAGCTGCAGCCTGTGGCCTCATTATGGAATGTTGGACCATCACCGAGATAGCGTTCTTGTCAGTCTTTCTCTTGTGTGAATACTGTCGTCTCTTAGCCAGATTCCAAAGTCAGCAGTTGATCCTCACATGTTCAGCTTTAGGAGCCAAAGCGTGAAACTATGCCAGGTTGCCCATTTCCAGAGGAGCTAATGGCTTCTACCACAACCTCTCTGTGTCTGTGGAACAAGCTTTAGGTGTGTTAAGCTTAGGTTGACAATCGAGACTGAGTGCACGTCTTTACTTCAGGGTAAGTTTCTGCTTGGATGCCTTGGTCCCTTTCTTGACGGTGGTTCTCCATCAGGACCACAGCAATAGACAGCAAAATAGATTACTTCTAACTTTGTATCTGGAGGAAAAGAGTTGTCTCTGGTGCTTCCCTCTCAGAAGAACCTAAGCTCTAAGGCCCTTTGTACTATATGCTTTTCTGGTTAAAGTAAATCTATGTAAATTGTATAGCTGCTCTAAACATAGGGAAATACAGTAAGAAAAATGTGGAAGTCCTCCATTGCACCCTTCTCTTGACCTTCCCAATATCAACACTCTTCCCTTCTCACAAATAACCACTGCTAGCATTTAGTGTGATTCTTTGGTATTTGTCTATGCACATTCATACGTACATGCATGTGTAATTTTTTGAATGGAAATAGAATTGTATATTTCTGTTATTTCCTTTTTTAACTTAACAGTCTGTCTTGGAGAACTTTCCATATTGAATTTATTATTTAATATTTTAAGTATGATATTGGGTGTTAGGTTTCAATGTATAAATTTTGGAGAGACATACACATTCAAATTCTAGCAACAGGAAAGCACGTGGTATGTGTTGTAAGGAGGACAAATAAATCTGAGTGCATTGACACACACCTGTAATCACAACACTCTGAGAGGCAGAGGCAAGAAGATTACAAGTTCTAATCCAACTTGGGCAATTTAGTGATCTAGTGAGACCTTGTCTCAAAATGAAAAACAAAAAGAGGTTGGGGATGTTGCTAACTGCAGGGACCCTGGATTCAATCTCTAGTACCACAAAAAAAGGAAGGAGGAGGAGAGAGGAAGGACAACACAGAAAGCACCAGATGATCAATTCCCCTTGGAGTTACAAAGGTTCAAGGAGGAAGTGGCCTTTCATCTGGTACTTAAAATATGGCTGGATTCGGTGGCTATCCCAGTAAACAAAGTTTTCAAGCATGAATAGCCATATGGAGCCAAGGAAACATGGAGTATCTTTGAGAAATTTTAGCAGCTTCACATAACTGGAAGTTGAGATAAATGAAAAAGAGCTGTAAAAGATAAGACCAGGGAGGTATACTGAAACCACAGTTTAAGATTATAAACTAAAGAATTTTTACGTATTCTCTAGGTATGGGAAGCCTTGAAGGTTTTAGATCAAGAAAGTGTTAGGATCAAATTATTTTTCACTTTCATTTAAGGTGTTAAGTAAAGGGGCTGGGGATATAGCTCAGTGGCATAAGTACCTGCCTGGCAAGCGCAAGGTTGTGAGTTTGATTCCCCAGTACCACAAAAAAAAAGGTGTTAAGTAGCATAATACTTAACAGGGACAGAAGAGAGTGCACTGAAGTGAAGGGAACCCACCACTGAGTCAGACTGAAGTTCAAATCCCAGCTAGGGAAGTTACTTAATCTCCCCATATCTATTTTCTCATCATAAGATTAGACTAACAGTGCCTACCTCACAGAATTATTAGGAGAATTAAATGAAATACTACAAGGTTGCTGCTGCCTTGTAAATAATAAATATTAGTCTTTCTTACTGCAGAGAAGTAATTGTAGGATTTTGCCTAAAACTAGATAAAATATGCTATGTGATCAAAAATACAGTGATGTTTCCTTTCTTAAAAAATTTATTACAGCAAGACACATTGTTATTAATTGCCCATAAAATACTCTCATTACTGCATGAACACACTTATCCCGTCATTTTTGTCACTTTCTGAAGCAGTTCTAGAAGTCTTTCATGAGTGTCTTTGGTTGCACTGTTGTGGCTGCCTCAGAGGCAGCATTTCTTTTTTTCTTAGACTCTCCATCTCTCCTTACATTATTTAAAAACACTATAAGAGGGCCAGGGATATAGCTCAGCGGCACAGCACCTGCCTAGCAAGCGTAAGGCCCTGAGTTCGATGCCTGGTACCAAAAACAAATAAAAATAAGTAAATAAATAAATAAGAGCTCTATAAGAAAACAGATAAAGGCCTTCAGTGAGCTTAGTGGTCTGGACCTGGCTGGTGAAAGAAGCTCTGTACTTGAGGATAGGACAATAAAAATTTCCAAAATGAAAAGCAAAGTGGGACAGAAAGATTGAAAGAAATAAGCAAGAATATCCAAGAACTGTGGAACAACTATAGAACATATAAATACTTGTAATGGGACTATCAGGAGAAGAGAGAAAGAAGAAACCCAAACACTATTTGGAGCAATAAACAAGAATGAAATTAATGCTAGGTCCCCAGGTACAGATCCAGAAAGCCCTGAGTACACCAAACAGAATAAATGTCTCCCCAAGCTACATCTAGGCATATCGTATTCAAACTTTAGAAAATAAAAGATGAAGAAAAATTCTTGAAGGAAGCCATGACAGGGCGGGGGTACACCTCGCCTATAGAAGAGCAAAGATAAGAATCACATATTTGTTCTTCTCAGGAACTATACAAACAATGCCAGGCATGGTGATTCATACCCATAATCCTAGCATTCAGGGAGGCTGAGGCAGAAGGACCACAAGATTGAGTCCTGGGCAATTTAGCATGATCTTGTCTCAAAAATAAATAAATAAATAAAAAGGTCTGGGGATGAGCTCAGTGCAAAAGCCGTAGTTCAATTCCCAGAACCCTATGGAGAATGAGACAGAGAAATGGAAAGAGGGAGGCAGGGAGAGAGAAAGAGAGAGAGGAAAAGAACCTAGGTAAGCAAGAAGAGAACAGTGTGAAATACTTAAAGTATTAAGAGAAAAAAAAAACAACCTAGAGTTCATACTTATAAAATTATCCTTTAAAAGTGAAGGAGAAATAAAGATTTTATCATATAAACAAAATTGAGGGAATTCGTTGCCAGTAGTCCTGCCTTGCAAGACATAAAAGGAAATTCTTAAGAGGGAAGTAAAACAATACAGAAACACAGACATACATAACATGGAAAGAGCGTTGGAGAATGAATAAGTGAAGGTAAAATGAAAACTTGTATTTTTCTTATTCTTAACTGCTTCAACAGATAACAAGATGCTCAAAATAATCATAGCAACAATGTATTCAAATATATATTAAATAAATATACAAAGGTAGTGTATGAATAATATTAATAATATATATATCAATAATACAATATTATTCATATATTAGTTTCTGTATAAATGAAATCAATGGTAGAGATGAGAGGGACTCTGGATGGTTGCGATGTGTCAGTGTAGGTTTGTTAGTTGTAGCAAATGTGCCCTTGCAGTGTATGACATCTACAACAAAGGAGATCGCATTCAAGGTCAGAATAAGTGGCAATATGGTAACTCTCTGTACTTTCCAATTAATTTTGCATATTTTAAATTTGCAATAAGAATTCTAGTTTTTCAATAAAAATGCAGATTCATGCAAGATGGAGTTAAAATAAACTTGATCTTTTTTATGTACAAAACATCACTCAGAATGTTTGTTTTGAAATCGGTGACTTCCCATAGCTCTAGATAAGATCTATCCCAGTTCACTTAATGGAACAACCTTTTTGTTCTGTAAGTCTACGAATTTTATTTTATTTTTTTTTTGTTTTTTGTTTTTTGTTTTGTTTTGTTTTTCTCTGATACCGGGAATCGAACTCACAACATTGCGCTTGCCAGGCAGGCTCTGTGCCACTGAGCTAAATCCCCAGCCCCTGAATTTTATTAAATTGAAGGAAACTGTAAAGTTCTGCGTCACATTATACTGCAAAAAAATAAAATAAAATAAATGAAAGCTCAGGTATTGTTTCCATACACTTTGGAATTTTGTTAGGGATGTCTGTATCTGTCAAAATAAATTAATACAGTGTGAGTAGAAAAAATTTTTGCTTTCTAATGTTAACTTCCTTAGGGCATATTTAGTTGTCTAAAATCTGGAATTGAAGCAGAGTTTCTTGTCATTCATAAGTTTCTGCTGTAATTTATCCGAGTGGCGCTACTATTCTTCTCTTTTCCCTGAAGCAAAAATAATACCATGATGCTCAGTTTAGCTGCTCATGCTGATTGACATTGAGTAAATTGTCTCGAACAAGATGAAAATGTAAATCTTTTTTGAAGAAAATAGCCATACAAAAGCCCCTGTGTTTCCCTTTTTCTTTTAAATTGCAGCTTGTAGAAACACCACCCTAAATCACATTTTCTTCCCTGCGTGTCACAAAAGAATGCATTAGCTTGTGTCCTGTCTCAGGATCTTAATCCAGCATAAACTGACCTTATGGATTGACCACTGGAGAGAAAGCCTGCAGCTTTTTATCACCAAGACTCTGCCCTTCATTTATAGCAGTAAACTATGCAGTCTGTGGTGAGACCATAGGTCTTTGTACACTTTGTATTATGCTTATCAAGTA